AGGAATTTCAAATAGTTAATTTGATACTAATATCGATATATTTTTGTCAAATTTTTATGATATCGTCAAACACATATTTTATTCAAAAATAAAAAACATCATCGCTTTCTCAAAATCACATAAAGTCATATTATAACATCGACTGAGATAAAGAATAAAATAAAATATTAAAAACATGATGTATCTCGCTGCATTGCGCGAGTACTCTTCTAGTATATATATATATATATGTATGTGTGTGTGTGTATTTTATATATATATATATATATATATATATATATATATATCGTTGTTTTTTCTTTTCTTTTTTTGAAGTATATAATATTTATATACCGCAAATGGAACAAATAAACTCACACTCCCTCCTCACCTTTGGTGAGGTTTGAACCCTTGACCTCCTAGGAGGCCAAGGACTCACATACAGCTAGGCCAACTATCGTTGTTGATCACTTGAATCTGTATTGCTATTGCTTACTCATATCTAGCTTTTCGAATCTTAGCTTATTTGTTTCTTCCGTTACTTCAATAAATCTTTAGCCACTTTGCCTTGGGATTTTATGGGCTAAGAGGCCACCAAGGTTTTGTTTGTGTATGACCTCATGGACCACCTCATCACACAAGCGGATGTAAGGCAATTGAGACATCAGAAAGAAAAACGACCTTTTATGCAACACCCAATTGTTAGTTTTTCATATCAAACGGTTTACCGATTTAAGTGGTGGTAAATTGGATGGTACTCTATAGGTTTTATAGTTAATATTCAACATATATTTGAAGCAAATTAGGCATCTATTTTACACATAGTAAAACAAACAGGGCAGGCTCAATGGAGCCATAAGTGGCTCTATCATGACTCATCGTGGGACCATGGTTCTTCGGTCTCATACTTGACCTTAACCTACAATAGCCACATTGCACCATTCGCTATTCACTAATAAGGATTCTTGTGGTTCCGAAGGATCCAGCTACAAAAGAACCAGGAACGGAGAGCTTTCCAATCCGATAAGGGGTAAATAGAAAGAACTGGGTAAGGCTGAACTCTTCTTTTCGAGGTATAACAGACTGATCTTCCCCAAGAGCTCACATCGACGGGAAATTGACTCCCTCGCTTAGTGCCACGGTCAGCAAGCAAGTAGCAACCGTTTGTATTCTCTGATTATTCATAGATGTGAACTCAAAGCCAACGTTACATCCAATGGAGAACCCATTTGCAAAAGTGAGTCCTACTGCAGATGGCCTCAGGTTAGATGTTGAATTCAATCGTCTTCTTACAACAGAAGCAAACTTGGATGCTCTAGTCTCGGCATGGAGTGTTGTAGCTAGCATATATATTAGCTTTTGAACTTGGACCTCATCTTTTACCAAAAAAGAATGAACCACAAGGGTGGTAGCATGGCGAATAAAGACAATCCTACCATCTATATATGCGTTTGTGGCCACTAAGAGATTTACCTCAGGGCAGTGGGCGAAGCCTACAGTCGCGACTTGCTATGGGATCACCCATTTCCAAAAAACAAGGAATGAATCTTAGGAGAGGAGACGAGCACAAGAACAACTCCTCCCCTAAGGATCTCTTCTTTGTTTGTCCAGGTACAGAAAACCTCTATGTTTGCTTCACAAGCCTTACATTGGAATTATCACTTAATTTGTGGTAGACCAAACAATGATATCTAAGCTCAACTAAGCTAACTAGTGTCTTATTTGGCCATTAGAGTAGCACTTACGAAACTAAATTTATTTTGCTCTTTGAGACGAACAGCAGAAAATCTTCAATTATGACGGACTCCAAAGGACTAATTGGATAGAACTTGAGAAGTCGCTCCTACCCTCCTATACTTTGTGAGGTAGTAGTTTCTCAACAGGCTTTTGCGTAAGTATTCCAAAGATTGCTGTTTTTGATGAGCCTCGCCAAATAAAATAGCATGAGTTAGCCTCTTGCAATGTCACCTTCACGACTATTTGGAGCATCCCTTAAACCTCTACCTTGACGCCTATCGCAGCAAAGCAAGATATTGGATGGAAACGCTCTTCATCATGGTAGAGAATACTTCCCAATACAAAAAGAAGGATAATTTTCACATGGCATTAAGGCATGCTCATGCAGGCACACAACTCCTTCCAAGTCTACATTGGTTAAAAGGCCATGCACAGCAGTCATGCTTTCTTGGTAGGCCCTTGATCTGGAGTCACATTAAATCTCCCCCTACGTGTATGACCACCAAAGACATTGTTTGCAAATTTGGTTAAAATTGACGAACGATGTAACTCCTCAGGTGCCCTTGCTTGACGAGGTACTCGATCGCCTATATGAGATTTTTCAATATTTTGCATCTTCTCTCTTTGTCGTTAAGGAAGTGGAAATACTTCGAGTTGTTAACTATTTGCAACCTCTATGAACATTTTTCTTGGCCCCCCCAATGGCAGATATCTTGTATCTAACTTTATATTTCGGCTTCTAGCAAAGTTATAATGAATTGTAAGCTTCAAAGAGATGAGAAGGGCTTCTCTTTCTTTTAGGGGAATCCTACTTCTTTTTTCTAGTAGATCCTTATGAGTTATGAGAGTAAAATTCTTTCAGTTTATCTTTTCTTGCAGAGAGAAGGCTCTTCTGCATTTTATCCAAACTTCTCATCCACTAAAGTATATTTAACTGAACAATGCTTACAAGCAGGTTCAAGATAAGTTTCCTATTTGTTGGTTGTAGGATTGGCAAGGACCTCCATCACGCTACCTTATGACAAGTGGGTCAATTCAAGGCATCTAAAATGGAGTACTACGTTGAAGTTGACAAGGTGATTGTTGACCAAGTATATTTATCTCTATTTCCAATTGTTTTCAAATTTTTAATGAAAATTTCAATAGACATTTATGGAGATCCCTCATGAAGTCGATGAGTGGGTCTCCTTTTGATGGACTCTGAAGGGCATACCAGCTGCCAATCATTCTCCATGTTGATTGATACGATTGGCAAGGCCTCTTACAGAAGCAAAAAGATTATCTTTTGTTCAGAAGGCTTTGACATAGAAAAGAATTACACATTTTCTCCTGCCAATGTTATATAAGGCGCATCGGGACACAAAAGTCCCCTTGTATCTAGGCATAAGCCTCGTGACTCATCGCAAAAGAGGCACACAAATCTAAAAAGAAAAACACGCATATGCATATAAATTTGATATCTCCACTAATGAG